GCTGATAAAGGACCTGATCCACTATGACGTGCGCTTGCCTCTACTCAAGGGCCTTGTGGAGCTGCTTATCCCATCAGTCAAGGAAACTTCCAAACTACAGGCCAAGATCTTCACTGGTAGGACTCCTGATATGGGACTGCCCCTGGAGGAGGGAAAGGGCTTCCTGGCTAATGGTCCCTCTTTTCTTCAGAATCATCGATTCTCGAGATCACCACCCAGCTACCAGTATTCCTACAGCAGGCTGCAGCTGCCAAGACCATTGGGTAGGCCAGCAGATGTCTGCAGGCCCATGCACTTTTCCACATCCTGAACCCTGGGGTTAAAAGCATGTGCCACTGTGTCCAGCTCATAACAATATATATATATGGCTAGACAAGGCAGAGGCCAGCAGATTTCTGTGATTTCAACCAGCCTTGTCCACATAGTGAGTTCTGGGATTTAGAGTAAGATCCATTCTCGAAAGAAAGAAAAGAAAGGAAGGAAGGAAGGCAGACAACCCTGGCAGTAGTGGCCTTTAATCCCAGCACTGAGAAAGCAGAGACAGGCAGATCTATGTGAGTTCAAGACCAGCCTGGTCCACAGAGCTAGTTCCAGGAGAGGCTCCAAAGCTACAGAGAAACCCTGTCTTGAAAAACAAAACAAAAGACAGAATAGTATGGTTATGGGCTTCTCAAGGAAGAATTGCAGCTCATTGTCTTGTTTCCTGTTTTTTTGTTGTTTTTCAGTAATGTCTCCCTATGGCAGGGAGTAGGTGAGGCTGTCCTGGAACTCTCTACATAGACAGGCTGGCCTGGACTCACAGAAATCCACCTGCCTCTGCCTCCTTAGTGCTGGGATAAAAGGCATGTGCCACAAAGCCCAGCTCTGCTGGAATTCTACTTTCTCAGCTGGAAAGAGGGAGGCTTCAGACTTGGGGTGAGGGACTCCTTTCCCCTCCCACGTCTCCACAGTTTTCCCTGTCTTCTTATCCTTCCTCAAAGGATCCTGGCACGAGATGACTTCAAAGTGGCCGAGGAGCTGCTGCACATGCGCGTGATCCACAGCCTGATGATAGCCATGGGCAACACCGACCACAGCAACAGCCAGAGACTGGCCAGCCTCACACTAGAGGTGCTCGGGCTGGGGTGGGCGTGGGCAGACTGCAGGGCATGGGCAGTCGAGTCAGCAGATACCCACACCGTCTTGCTGCCCCGTTCACTTCTGCTGCAGTTCTTTGTGCAAATGTTCCCATTGGTGGAGGAACATGTCCACAAGTCCATGGGGGAGGAACTCTACCAGCTCTTCCTTGTAAGTATGTCCGTTCCCACCAGCCCCAGCAACGGCCCAGGACAGAAAGGTGACCCTTGTGCACAGAGGGAATCTAGTTTCCTGACTTGGCCACACACACACACACACACACACACTCACACATACTCTCTCACACACACACACACACACACACGCACGCACGCACACACTCACTCACATACACTCGCTTACACACACACATACACACACACACACACACACACACACACACACACACACACACACTGTCTTCTCGTCCCCTACCACCTGCCCTAATTCCTAAACTGGGAGCAGGACCTCTCTGCCTCAGCTGCTCTGTGTGCAGTTAACCTTCCTCTCAAGACCCACTCCAGGAGCACAGTGCTCTCGTGTGAGGCAGGCTCTCCCTGCTTCTCTCCTCAGAGCAATGCGGAGATCTTGTATGCAAAAATGGATAGCATTCAGGCTGACATCTTGGCAGCCAACAAAGTCAATGTTACCAAAGGTGAGCAGGGGGTGAGGGGACCCGGAGCCCATGCAGAGCCAGCAATTGTGCTCATGGTGACTTTGCTGCCTGCAGCATTACACCTCTGTGAAGGCGCCACCAACAGCTGCTTCAGCTTTTTCATGGGCCCTGGAGATTTGAATCAGGTGGAATATGTCACCCACTTTGAGAAGCTTCGTTCGGAATCCAAGGAGTGACAGAGCCCCTGTGGCAAACAGGAAGGCCAAGACTGTGCCTCATGGAAGCCTGACTGCCAGGAGGAAGGCATTGAAGACAGTTAGTGCCTCTTGGTTCTGGGTGGGAACCTGGGACTTAGAAAGCACAGTGGGGAAGAGGGGAAGCTGTTGCTGGGAAGGATCTAATAAAGAGTTGTGATGCCTGGACTGTGTAGTGTGTGGAATGGGGATCCACAGAAGCAGTGTAGTAGGGTTGGGGGGTGCTCCTACAAAAGCAGGTCCCAAGGAAACTGTCATCAAGACTCTGGAAGAGCTCCAGGGAATCCTGTGGCCTTAATGGAGGCCCTTGACCCTTTAAGACAGTGGTTCTCAACCTTGCTAACCCTGCCACCCTACAGTCCCTTGTGCATTCCCCCCCTACAGCCATAAAGTTATTTTCATTGCTACTTCATAACTGTAGTTTTGTTATGGTTATGAATCATAATGTAAACATCTGTGCTTTCCGATGGTCTTAGGCAACCCCTGTAAAAGGGCTGTTTGACCCCAAAGGGGCCATGACCCACAGGTTGAGAACCACTGCTCTAAGTAATCTCACAAATACACACACACACACACACACACACACACACACACACACACACACACACACACGCCTGATATGCTCCTGCCTTTTGCTTTGGTTCTGTTCCCTCAACCCCTACTATTCCAGCCATACCTTAACATCTCCTTGTGTCCAATTAAACATCTCCAGCCAGCCTGTGGTGGCAAACGCCTTTAATCCCAGCACTCGGGAGGCAGAGGCAGGCAGATCTCTGATTACAAGGATGTATTTGGCTTCCTTCCTCTCATTGCCAGTGACCGGAATAAGAGACCAGTGCCACCCAGCCCAGCTAACTCACTCTTGTGTTTCAGTTTTGATTTAGTTTGGGTTCTCCTGCTCTCCCTGTTGTTCATTTTCTCATTGGGGTTTTTGTTTGGTTGATTGGTTGGAACTCACTCTGTGTATCAGGTTGGCCTTGAACTCACAGAGGTGTGTCTGCCTCTGCCTCTGGAGTGCTGGGATTAAAGGAATGCACCGCCTGGAGAGATGGCTCCATAGTTAAGTCACTGATCTTCCAGAAGACCTGGGTTCAATTCTGAGCACCCACATGGCAGCTCATAACTGTCTATAACTCCTGCTACCAGGGGATCTGACACCCTCACACAGACATGCATGCAGGCAAAACACCAATGCACATAAAATACAAATAAGTAAATTATTAAAAAATAAATAAATGGGGGCTGGAGAGATGGCTCAGAGGATAAGAGCACTGCCTGCTCTTCCAGAGGTCTTGAGTTCAATTCCCAGCAACCACAAGGTGGCTCTCAACCATCTGTAATGAGATCTGGTGCCCTCTTCTGGCCTGTGGGCATACAGACATATGCTGTATACATAATAAATAAATAAATGTTTTAAAAAATAAATAAATAAATGAAAGCTTGCAGCACCCCACCCCACCATGCCACACCCCCAGCCAGCAGTATGTTGGTTTTTCAAGACAAGGTTTCTCTGTGTAGCCCTGGCTGTCCTGGAACTGATTAAATAGACCATGCTGGCCTTGAACTCACAAAGATCTGCCTGCCTCTGACTCCCAAAAGCTAAAGTCAAAAGTTAAAAGTTAAAGGTGTGCATCATCACCACCTGGCCTTCTTGGGGTTTTTGTTAGTTTTGGTGTGGGTCATATGTTATCTTTAGATTTTGTTTTTCTTTGCTATTGTTTCTCTATGATACTTTGTTGATGTTTTTGTTTTGTTTTGTTTTTTTCCAGCCAGGATCTCTGTGTATCTCAGGCCAGTCTGGAACTCAGATATCTGTCTCTTTCTGCCTCCTGAGTGCTGGGATGAAAGGCTCGAACCAGTGTGACCCAGCTGGGATTTTTGTTCTTGTTAACATAGATAAAGGAAAAGTGAAAAAATAATTCCCCAAAGTGGAATAGGCTCCAAGGAAGGAAATCTAAAGTTTTCTTTTCTGATTTGGTTGGGGTTTTTCCCCAAATGGGGAGAGCTGTTTGTTGTTGTTTTGTTTTACGACAGTCTCACTTAGCCAGGGACAATTTTGAGTTTTGGTCCTCTGGTCTTTGCCTCCCTCGGATGAGGTCCGAAGCACAGGTTTTACAGAGCTGTGGGTAGAGCTGAGGATTTGTGCATGATAGATAAGCAATAGACCTGGAGAAACAACCCCCAGCCCTGTCTGTGAGAATGCCAGAGCTCAGCTGCTCCCCAATACCTCTGCTTTGATGTATGGTTACTCCTCAGGTTGGTCAGAGGACTTCAGTGAGGCCTTGAAGAATTGACTGCAGTTATACAAAATGCATGGACTTTAAGGGGGTAAGAGAGAAAGGGAGATGGGGTTGGGAAAAAGAGAGAAACGCATCACTCAGGGGGGAAGAGGCAGGCAGATCTCTGAGTTCAAGGCCAGCCTGGTCTACACAGTGAGTTCTAAGGCAGAGCTACACTGAGAAACGCTGTCTCAAAATAAATAAATAAATAAATAAATAAATAAATAAATAAATAAATAAAAGTCAAGTTGGAAAGAGGAGTTTACCAAGTTATTTTATAGAATTAAAGAGAGCTAAGACTGCCTGTTTTCTTCGGCGTTTCTATGTAGCCCTGACTGTCCTGAACTCACAGAAACCTGTGTCCTCCGTGCTTTTGCCCAGCTTTTCTCTACGAAGTATGACACAATGAGACCAGTATGAACAAGAGACCCACACGGAGAAAGAGCACAAAGTATCCTGAGGTGGCGAAGGAGCAGATTTACCAACAACAGTGGGAGAAAAGCCATGCTTTCATTTCCAGCTCTCTCAAGAAGTGGTGAGGAACAGGCAGGTGGGTCTCTGGATCACACAGCTCTACAACAATCAAAGCCACAGTGAACGCAGACTTGGAAATACACAGAAAAAAGAGAGTTGCAAAACCGTCCAGGAGACCCACAAGGAACTTGCTATTTAGCAAGTTTCCTTACTGCATACAAGTAGTAGTATCAAAGAACCTCCTTTTGAACAACAGGTAGTAGTCCTACATAAGTAGGACCTAGAAAAATTGAGTTAAAACTCAGACTTGTTCCTCTCCACGGAAATCTTTAGTAAAAGGCGAAAGATTTATACGATCTGAAGAGAAACCAGAGTATGACCTGTGTGCATCCGCCCACCGTTCTCGGCCGCATGTAACTCCTACATAACCGATGGGACCTAGCTGCACAAATCAAGTGGTCACGGAAGTCTGCTTTCAGTTCAAATTCAATCTCGGGATGCCACATCGCTCTCAAGAAAGCAAAAGGAAACAGGAAAAGAGATTATACTTTTAAATGAAAGCGCCAATCTCTGTGCAATGCCTTATGGGTATGTAGAAGACGTTCAGTCACAAGCCAGGGTTCCAAAACGCCTGCCTTTATCCCTGAACTAGTGCTGGGCCACCACCAGGGGCAGCACCAGAGCCGTATTTGCAGGAGTACACACCCCATCCACAATGTGGGACTTTTCAGGGCGGGGTCTCCGAAGCCCCACCCTTAGAGAGGGCGCTATTGGCACTTGACGGCTACTGAGGGAGGGAGAGTTCGCCTGCCCCAGTATGACTCCACACACATGCGCATTTGGGCAGCACTAACTGGACTCAGGAGGTTGTTAATAAGAACTTTTTAAATGTATTTTTTATTTAAATTAGAAACAAGATTGTTGAGGGGCATCTAGGTTGTTTCCAAGTTTTGGATATCAAAAATAATGTTGCTATGAACATACTTTAGCAAATGTCCTTGTGGTGTGAGTGTGCATCCTTTGGGTACATGCCCAAATTTGGTATTGCAGGGTCTTAAGGTAGATTGATTCTAAATTTTCTCTAAAACTGCAAAAATGATTTCCACAGCAGCTGTACAAGTTTGCACTCCCACCAGCAATGGAGGAGTGTTCACATTATTCTACACCCTTTCCAGCATAAGCTGTCATCAGTGTTTTTGATCTGAGCCATTTTGATCGGTATACACATAAATTTTTAAAATAAAAGCAGGCAACTCAGCTGATATGTGTTAGGTCCAGAGGCGCACAAAACTGAGAAAGACTTATCACCAAAGTCTATGAAACCAGAGGCAACTTTATTGCAGAAGAAGAAAAAAAAAAACACTGAGGGGCACAAAATGCATATCTGCTAGCTGAGGCCACAGCCAGAGTTTCAGATTCTGAAACTGTGCAGTGGGAGTGGTTTGGGGCTGCTTTCTGTTTATTTTTTAATGATTAATTTAAATTTTCTTTATATCTATTGGTGTGAAGGTGTAAGATCCCCAGGAACTGGAGTTGCAGACAGTTATGAGCTTCCATGTAGGTGCTGGGAATTGAACCCCGGTCCTCCGGAAAATCAGCCAGTACTCTTAACTACTTAGCCATCCCTCCAACCCCGGGGCTGCTTTTCATAGCAAGAAGTAAGCTATCCATGGACAAAGGAGCTTTTACGACTTTGAGGGTAAGCTAGATATATATTGCATTTGACAATTTTCCCTTACAAGGTTGTGGCTCAATGGTCTTTACAAAAACCACAGCTTTCTTAACATAGCAGGTGTCCCATAGCAGAGGAAGATACAAAACTATGTGAAGCCAAAAGCCATGGAGCAACAACTTCTTAGAAGTTAACCTTGACTGAAGGCAGTTTTCAGCTGTAAGCAGGGAGGGGTTATCACTGAAGTTAACCTCCAGTCGCTGACAAAGCTGCTTAGCTGACAGTTCTCATCTCTCTGAGCTTATAATTTTATATTCCTGTGTCTTCTAGTACACTGGTGTCTTAGTGAGGGTGACTATTGCTGTGAAAAAACACCATAGCCAAAGCAATTGGGGAGGAAAGGGTTTATTTTGCTCACAGTTCCCCATCACAGCTGTCATCAAGGGAGTGAGGGCAGGAGCTCACACAGCGCAGGAGCATGGAGGCAGGAGCTGACACAGGAGCCACCAAGGGGTACTGGCTTGCTCCTCATGGCCTGCTAGGGCAGTTTTCTTATGAAACCCAGAACCACCAGTCCAAGGCAGGCGCCACTCACAATGGGCTTGGCCCTCCCCCATTGATCTTTAATTCAGAAAATGCCTCAAGCTGCTTCTTTTTTTTGTTTTGTTTTGTTTTTCGAGACAGGGTTTCTCTGTGGCTTTGGAGGCTGTCCTGGAACTCACTTTGTAGACCAGGCTGGCCTGGAACTCACAGAGATCCGCCTGCCTCTGCCTCCCGAGTGCTGGGATTAAAGGCGTGCGCTACCAACGCCCGGTTTACACAGTGAGTTCTAAGGCAGGCAGAGCTACACTGAGAAACGCTGTCTCAAAAAAAAAAAAAAAAAAGTCAAGTTGGAAAGAGGAGTTTTGTGGGGATCACAGACCCTGGCCAGAAACCCACCCCTCCATCAGCCTGGGAGCAGGCAGCTCTGAGACAATATTTACTGAAAACCTGTTTACGGAAAACAATTCAATGCCATAAGCTCCTGATAAGGCCTCCCTCACTGAAACACCATGACTTTGATCTTCCCAATGGCTAGCTACTCCCTGCTGTTCCAGATTCTGGTGCTGGACATTTAACCACCAGCCAGGAGAGTGAGAGGTCTGTGAGAGGGCTGTTGGCAGAAGCTTTTTCTGAAGGGAAGCATTTTTCTTGGGAAGTTCTCCTAAGCCGATTTGGGGAGCATAAAGTTTTCTTAACACAACCGACTGGTCTCTGTGTCATCTATCCGACCACCTCGCCACATTCTCAGATACAGGCTGCGCAGGAGGCGCGGCAGAGTTTATCAAGTTATTTTATAGAATTAAAGAGAGCTAAGACTGCCTGTTTTCTTTGGCGTTTCTATGTAGCCCTGACTGTCCTGAACTCGCGGAAATCTGTGTCCTGCGTGCTCTTGCCATCTTTTCTCTACGAAGTTTGACACACTAAGACCGGTAATAACAAGAGGCCCACACGGAGAAAGAGCACAAAGTATCCTGAGGTGGCGAAGGAGCAGATTTACCAACAACAGTGGGAGAAAAGCCGTGCTTTCATTTCCAGCTCTCTCAAGAAGTGGTGAGGAACAGGCAGGTGGGTCTCTGGATCACACAGCTCTACAACAATCAAAGCCACAGTGAACGCATACTTGGAAGTACACAGAAAAAAGGGAGTTGCAAAACCGTGCAGAAGACTCACAAGGAACTTGCCGTTTAGCAAGTTTCCTCACTGTATACAAGTAGTAGTATCAAAGAACCTCCTTTTGAACAACAGGTAGTAGTCCTACATAAGTAGGACCTCGAAAAATTGAGCTAAGACTCAGACTTGTTCCTCTCCACGGAAATCTTTAGTAAAAGGCGAAAGATTTATACGATCTGAAGAGAAACCAGAGTATGACCCGTATGCATCCGCCCACCGTTCTCGGCCGCATGTAACTCCTACATAACCGATGGGAACTAATTGCACAAAACAAGCGTTCATTGACGTCTGCTTTCGGCTCACATTCAATCTCTGGATGCCGCATCGCTCTCAAGAAAACAAAAGGAAACAGGAAAAGAGCTTATACTTTTAAATGAAAGCGCCGATCTCTGTGCAATGCCTTATGGGTATGCAAAAGACGTTCAGTCACAAGCCAGGGTTCCAAAACGCCTGCCTTTATCCCTGGACTAGTGCTGGGCCACCACCAGGGGGCAGCACGAGAGCCGTATTTGCAGGAGTACACACCCCATCCACAATGTGGGACTTTTCAGGGAGGGGGTCTCCGAAGCCCCACCCTTAGAGAGGGCGCTATTGGCACTTGACGGCTACTGAGGGAGGGAGAGTTCTCCTGCCCCAGTATGACTCCACACACATGCGCATTTGGGCAGCAGTAACTGGACTCAGGAGGTTGTTAATAACTTTTTTTAACATATTGTTAAATTAAATTAGAAACAAGCTTGCTTCATATGCCAGTTCCAGCTCCCCCACCAATACCCTCAGCCCCCACCCAATCCCCACTCTGTTCCCTCCATGGGGGATCTCCAGAGTCCATCATTTGGTTCAGGGCAGGGCCTAGGCCCTCCCCCAAGTGTCCAGGCTGAGAGCATCCCTTATTGTGGAATAGGCACCCAAAGTCCATTCGTATGCCAGGGATAAATATGGATCTACTACCCATAGTAGGCCCCATAGATTGCCTAGGCCTCCTCGCTGACACCCACATTCAGGGGGTCTGGATCGGTCCCATGCTGGCCTCTCAGCCATCAGTCTGGGGTCCAAAAGCTCCCCCTTGTTCAGGTCAGCTGTTTCTCTGGGTTTCACCAGCCCATCGACCCCTCTCTGTCACCGGATTCCAGGAGGTCAGTTCAGTGTTTAGCTGTGGGTGTCTGCCTCTGCTTCCATCAGTCATTGGTTGAAGGTTCTAGGATGGCATATAAGGTAGTCGGCAAACTCATTATCAGGGAGGGGCATTTAATGTAGTCTCTCCACTATTGCTAAGTTTGCCAGTTGGTGTTATCCTTGTAGATCTCTGGAAATCTCACTAGTGTTAGCTCTCTCCTCAAACCTAAAATAACTCCCTCTATTATGGTGTCTCTCATCCTGCTCTCCTCTATTCTTCCCCTGACTCAACCTTCCTGCTCCCCCAAGTCCTCCTCTCCCCTCCTCTTCTCCCCCTCTTTTTACTGGCTCCCTCTCCCTTCTCCGCCATGCTCCCAATCTGCTCAGAGATCTTGCCTCATTCCCCTTCTCTGGGGTACCAGGCATATCTCTCAGGGTCCTTCCTGTTTCCCAGACTCTCTGGCAGTGGATTGTAGGCTGGCACTCCCCTGATTCATGTCTAAAATTCATATATGAGTGAGTATATACCATGTTTGTCTTTTTGTAACTGGGTAACCTCACCCAGGATGGTTTCTTCTAGTGCCGTTCATTTGCCTGCAAATGTCAAGATTCCATTGTTTTTTCCTACTGAGTAGTACTCCATTGTGTAAATGTACCACATTTTCTCTATCCACTCTTCAGTTGAGGGGCATCTAGGTTACTTCCAGGTTCTGGCTATTACAAACAGTGCTGCTGTAAACATAGTGGAACAGACATCCTTGTTGTATGACTATGCATCTTTTGGGTATATGCCTAAGAGTGGAATTGCTGGGTCTTGTAGACTGACTCCCACTTTCCAGAGGAATCTCCATACTGATTTCCACAGTGGCTGTATGA